AAATCCGATGTGTTTTGGTTGTTTCGATGTTGTTTGAGGTGTTTTCACGATTGTTATATGTTTGGATGGTGGTATATGACTGGTTTGTGCTTTTGGTTGAGGTCCCGAGGGCCTCGGTGTGATTTCGGATGATTGACGGAAAGTTTGGAGTTGAGTTTGGGAGTTGAAGCATTTTTTGCTACTGTCATAACCGCACCTGCGGTTGGGAGGCCGCAGGTGCGATGCCCGCAGAAGCGGAAGGCAGCCGCAGGTGCGGCCAAGAAGAAGATCAGATGGAACAGCAGAAACGGCTAAGGAAGCGCACCTGCGGTAGCGCAGGTGCGAGGAAATAACCGCAGATGCTGAACTTGGACGTTAAATGAAAACCGCAGAGGCGGCGTCTTGGGCCGCAGAAGCGGTAGCGCAGAAGTGTATCTTGGGCCGCAGGTGCGAAAAACCTGGGCCAGAAGGTATAAAAGAATTCCTTCGCGATTTTTGAGTTGTTCTTCACCATTTGCATGCGGGTTTGAGCTTGGGGGAGCTATTTGAAGAGGAATTTCAAGGCGATTTCATAGAGGTAAGGTTTTTGGACCCTAAACTCGTTTCTATGGTGTAATTTCAGTGATTTGGCTTGGAAATTAATGGAAATTAAGGGTTAAAAATGGGGAAACAAGGGCTTGAGATTTTAGGCCTTTGAGCAAGGGTTTGAGGGGTCATTTGTGGTCGGATTTTAATACTTTTAATATGTGTGAACTCGTGGGGAGATAAGGAGTCTATTGATGTAAATTTTATCAAATTCCGAGACATGGGCCCGGGGTCGCGTTGGACCAATTTCGAGGTTTTTTGTATAATTCGATTATTTTTGCATGGGCTTCGTTCCCTTAGCTTGTTCTAATGTTATGATTCTGATTTTGGGTAGATTTGACGCGAGTTGAGGCCGAGGCGAGAGGCAAAGGCATCGCAGAGTAGTATTTCACCCGGTTTGAGGTAAGTAAGGATTGTAAATCTGGAACTGAGGGTATAAAACCCCGGTATTTTGTATTGATTTGATAAATGAGGTGACACACATGCTAGGTGACGAGCGTGTGGGCATGCAACGGTAGGGATGGTGACTTTGTCCGTCCCGTAGCGACTATTAATCCACGTACTTGATTTGAAATCTTATGATATCACGTATTTTAGAGATTGATACTATGTTATGGGCTATATGCCATGTTTGGGGCCTTGTGCTGACATGTTGAGACCCTTAGGGGCATTTTTACTGTTTTCCTCGCTCTATTAGTTTGAAAATATATCTTCAGTCTTGTTTTACCTGTTTATTGTTTAAACCTGGTTTTTATCACTCTGTTTCTTAAAATATGAAAAACTGTTTGGGCTGAGTTTCCCTGATTTCCACTGTGATGCCAAGGGATTGTGAGGTTAATGACTGAGAGAGGTTGAGGACTTAATCGTGAGGATTTTATATATATATATATATATTATGGATCGGACTGCACGCCGCAACAATGTTATATGTATATGTTATGGATCGGGTTGCACGCAGTAGCGATATGACACTTGGGCTGTAGGAGCCCCTCCGGAGTCTGTACACCCCCAGTGAGCGTAGCCGACTATAAACTATGGATCAGGCTGCACGCCGCAGCGATTATTATGATTATTACTATTATGAGATATATTTGAGCCTGAGTGCTGATGTGAGTACTGTGTGACGAGAGCTGAGTCACGAGTGACCTAGAGGCTTGCCCGAGAGGCTATATTTGTGAGTGATACCTTGCCCGAGGGGCCCACTTATGACATATTTGCTGTTTTCACTCTTCCTTTTATAAAGAGCCCCTGTTGAAAACTGCTAAGTAAATGATTTCAAGTATTTCGATTTAAACTGAAGTTTTTACGAAGTAACTGGCTTTTAAACTGTTGAGATTGACTTGATCTTCTGTTGTATACTCTTTTATATGATTTCTAACTGCTCGTCACTGCACTCAGACCTTATTTACTTTAGTTACTTACTGAGTTGGCGTACTCACGTTACTCCCTGCACCTTGTGTGCAGATTCAGGTGCCCGAGCGGCAGAGTGAGGGTTCCCAGCATTTTCGGAGCTTATCGGAGACTGCAAGGTAGCTTTACAGCGTCCGCAACCCTGCCTTCCTCCTTCCTATCCTTGTTTTCCGCATTTTTAGACTTATCATGTATTAGACAATCGCAATGGTTGTATTTAGAGGCTCTAGACTTGTGACACGAGATGGTTGGGCTGTGTTTGGTTTGTTGATATATTGTCTTTCCGCACATTTCAACGAATTAATTATTCCTCTTGCAAATTTGAAGCTTGAATCAGTATTAGCAAAAATGGCTTATTAAAAGGAATTTATTGTGATTAATTGTTTGGGTTGGCTTGCCTAGTATTGTGATAGGCACCATCACGACCGGGGTATTTGGGGTCGTGACACGGACACGCCCAATGCCTTACGTACTGGCTCGCCTAATAGAACTTTATGCAATTGTGTGTAACTAACCTTGTAAATACTCAAATTTTCTTAATAAATCGTTAACTATTCAAAAACACTTTTTTCTTAATCATAAATCATTAAGTTGAGAGATTTTATGTCATAATTAAAATAAAATTTATTGCACGTTATCCACTAAGATTGCTATGATAGTAAATTTTAAATAAAGCTTTAATTTAAAAGTATTTATTTATTAACATTTGTTATGTCCTTATTATATTTGTCCATAATTTTTTTGTAATTATTTTCCTAAATATTATTTTTCATGTTTACGAAATACAATACTTATTAATTTAATAGCTCAGTATTAGCTAGTAACTATTTACAAATAATTAGTTATCATGGTGAATTGTGTGTCACTTTAATAACTTGTTGAAACTTAAAAAGTAAATTATGCTAGAGAATCATATTTAAATTTTGAATAATAGTTTTATATAAATTCTCTTTCAAATAGAAAGCATATTAAATAAAAGGAGTATTTTTAAAAAAATATCAAATTATAATATCGAAATTCTTTCCTGATTCATTACTCCTTAAGAGATACATATAAGATTTCACATCAAATACGTACTTTTGATGTTTGAGTTGTAACGATGTTGCAGCTAATTTGCATAGTATGATATATGCGTACTTTTGTATTATTCATAGTTGAATTATAATTTATGAATATTTTAAATAGATTATTTGTTATAATTTGGTAATTTTAATGTAATTTTTATAATTATTTTTATTTATTATTATCTTAAAATTCTTGAAATTAGTAAAATTTAAAGATCCGTGGGACTTACGCCCCATGTCTCAAGGCTTACGCCTCGCCTCGTCAGAGATAAAACGCCTCGCCTCACCCCCGCCTTTTAAAACATTGAAAATAACTCTCCTCAATCCTTATTTGATCTTTGCACGCACTTAGCTCGATCGTTTCCGTACTGTAATATGTTGGTTAGACTTGGCTTGATTACCACGCCAACTCGTGCCAATTTTTTTTTCCCTTTTTTTCAGCTTCATAATATTAATTTTTGTATTACTAATTCAAGAATAAAATGTCAACTATTTGTATCAAAATATGGTCAAATTATCTGAACTTGAAAGTTTAAAATCATAGTACCACCATATCGTTTTCAACTACAGTATATTGTTTATTTCAAATTTAAATAAAATGCTTCTATTAAATTGACTGATACAGTAATTTTTTTTTTAATAACCGAGGTGTACGGGCCAGCTTGTGCACACCTCGACGAATTTCATGGGGTACCTGCCACCGCCCACCAAAAACAGGTATCAGGTAACTCTATCCACAACCTAACATTGAAGTCTGAATAAACATTAACCATGTACGGTATCAACTCCAAATAAGATCGGATTGTATCAGATTTTTTAAGTTCGGGTTTGGATTAATCGAATTGGATATTTTGGATTTTCGGTTTTGGATTTCCTGAAAGTTACAATAGAAGCTTATCGAAGCTTTCGGTGATGCACGCTGAAATTTTGTTAGCTCTGCCTGTCTTTTTATTGTTGTCGGTTCTTCAACAAACCAGGAAGGTTTGATTAGCATTCTCACCAGCACCGGGGACTTGGCTAACAGAAGCTTGATAAGCTGCATCCCAGGCTTTGAGCCTATACTATCTGTTAGCTTAACTTTCGTAAGGTGATTAAATGTGACATCTGAGAAAGCTTTCACTTTTCAAGAGATTTTAGAGCTAGAATATCAACATTTACATCACGAACCTACGAAAGATTACCAAAGACTCATCTCTCTAAACTTATTGAGGATAAAAAGTAGTATGAAAATAAGAAAGAGAAAGGAAAGTCGAAAACCTTAATTTCCATATATTGCAAGCATGGGAAGCTTCTAATCAAGCAAAGAGCACACGAGATGACCTTCAATTTATCCAGATGAAATTCAGATAGGTAGAGACGTTTGACACATTTAAGATCATATGGAAGTCTTCTTGGTACACCTTCTGCTGCCGCAAAGAACTAGGAAAGAAATGCCAAAATTCAGGGGGGGGGGAAAAAAGCCAGATTTACAATTGGTAATCGAAAAATAGCCATAGTTTCAAAAGTAATCAAAATTTAGCCACTTTTTAATGTAAAGATAAAATCTGAACAAGACCACCCTTAAATATCTGAAAATATTCTAGCATAATATGATGAATTTCGAATTTTTTACATATGAGCTTCCTGCATATTGTGCTGGAGTTTCATAATGTGTTGGAGTTCTAACATAATATGCGGGAAGTTTATATGCAGGAGCTCCATAATTCAGCATATTATGTTGGAACTTTCCGTGTGCTGGAATTACAACATAATATGCTGGAAGTTTTTACGCAAGAGCTCCATAATCCCGCATATTATGCTGGACTTTCCGTGTTTCAGCAAAATAATGGCTATTTTTTAATGAATTTACAAACGCTGACTTTTTTTCAATTATCAGTGCGAAAACTGGCTAGCCCGTGCTATTTTCATCCAAATTCAGGACGACTAAAAGCCCAAAAGATGCTCCATCATTAAAAATGCACACTAAATGAAGTGATGAAGGACATTTAGCTGAATACTAGCGATGTCCAAGTGGAGATGCTCAAGAGCAGAAAAAGGTTCAAAAAACTTGGCAATATTAATTTTTCCTGCCCTAGCAAAATATTGGCAGTAACTAAATGAAAGTTTAGCAAGACGAGGGATATCCTTAAAAAAGAGAGGTCTTGTATTGCCTTCATAGTCAAATGATCTCAGCCTAGGGGCATTAATTTCAATGATGTTGTTAGTAGAAACTCTGATATTCTCCAGCACCAAATTCTCAAGCAACAAGCAACGAGAGATTAAACTTCCAAGCAACTCGGTAGAAATTGCAACATAACATAGTTCCAGTCTAATTAACCTATCAAATCCTTTGAAAGCTGGTGGAAGAAGCTCTATTAAGCAATTTTCAAGAGTCAGATGCCTCAACTGAGAACATGTGAAAAATGAAGAAGGCAATTTGTAATATGGTTCAATACGCCATGAAAGTCTAAGAACAAGATGTTGAACACCATTTCGAGAGAGGAAAGATATCAAGTCATCAATCTTAGAACAACCTCTCGAAATAGAAATGTCGAGGGTACACTTTGTAATTGGTCCTGCATGAAGTATCAAAATGTTGGAGATAATCTCGTCAAATTTACTTGTATGTAATATTATACCCTTTTTAGTTGTACAAAGAGTTTTATCAAGTGTCAATTCTGAAAGTCTGCACCAATTATACCTCCAATTCTTCGATAAGATGCTTGTCCTCACAACATATCCTTAAAAGGCAAACGCACAAGAATATCATCAATTATATTCTCCGGAAGGGTGCTCAGTACATCGGTAGGTTTCCCCTCAAGAGGCATCATACAACAATACTCGCCAATAAGAGCCTGCAGAAAATAGAGAAGAATACGAAGATTAGGAAGAGAATTGCAGATGACAATTGTCAAATTAATATGTCATAACTGTAAGAAGAACAGAAAGGGTACTGTGCTCTCATTCAAATCATTCATAAATCTCCTCTTAATATAATAAAATTGTATTAGGACTATATAGGCTTTGATATCATTGTAAAGTAAAAATTCAAAAGAATAAAACCGAGAACCACATAGCCTTTAGCTTCTATTAACCTTGTCAACAGACATTGATGCACAATAAAGAGAAGAACAAAAAGGTACAATATTTGGTCAAATTAACTTAGAAAATTAGGTATTTCACAGCTTAGGCTGTAATATATTTCACATCAAACTCCAGTTGCCTAAATAAGCTTAATAGCTTTTCTTGATAATTTGGAGGGAGCCTTGGAGCAACGGTAAAGTTATCTCCATATGATCTATAAGTTACGGGTTCGAGCCATGGAGCCACTCAGGGAGGCTGCCTACATCACACCCTCTTGGGATGGGACCCTATCCCAAATCATGCATAAAGGCGGGATGCTTTGTGCACCGCACGGCCCTTTCTTCCCACAATTTGCATAACCCTAAGCATAGCTGGCAAAAAATCATGTCATATTCAACATAACTAATTGAATCGAACGAAATAATAGAACGCTAATTGCAATTACAGAGCGCATGCACGTTGATCTTACTTTACAAGGAATCAGGCTTTCTCTTCTCTATGGTTGTGCTCAAGCCTTCAATAAGTATTTAGAGCTTTTTAACCCAAAATAATTGTCCTCTCACGTTGCTAGTTGAAGAAGTCGGCATACCTAAAACATAAAGAAAAAAGGAAAATACCTTTTTTCAAAGGAACTAGTTAGGGTAGGCCCTATATCAATAAGTATAATTTTTTTTAAAATTATAATAATATTATTCAACTATGTATACCTAACATGAAATTGTTAAATATCATTTTGAAAGTATTTTTAATATTGATGTTGAGTTAAAGAATATCACAATAGTGAATGATAATTTAGTATTTATTAGAATATATTTTAACATTTTGGTATATAAATTTTACAGAATAAGTATTTAATTAAAGGGTAATGGACATACTATTGGAAACTTTTTTCAAACATATTTTCTACAAAAATTCTTTTTATTTTATTTTTAATTTTACTAAGATGCTTTAATTGTATTAAAGTAATTGGTTTTAAATTTATGATATGTTATAAATTTATAATTAACAATACGAAAATTAGTGTCATGTCAACGAATATTATCGACTCTAGTTATAGTTTCCTACTTAGATTGTAGATCTATATCTCGTCATGAAATTAAAATCAATTAATTCTACAAGATTAAATTATTTTGCTAATAATAAAGAAGAAAATAGAGAAAGAATTTTGTAAAAATATGTTTGATTGTCTCGACATACAATGGTATGTTTTACCCTTTAATCAAACACTTCTTCACCTTTGCAATAGGGGCGGCTCAATATTATTGGTGGCCTAAAGCAAAATTTGGATGAGAGGCCTTAATTTTTTTAAAAAAAATTATATATTTGATTTAAAGTGTATTTTTCTAACCTTTTTAGATGCAAAATTATTAATAATTTTCTTGTAATTGAGTTATTCTAACAATTCTTTTTCAACTGATAATACTGCTAATCTGATCCACTTAGCTCCTCGTGAGATATTATTGATCTTATACAATATTTTATTATTTTTAATTTGGAAAAACTTCTTTCCCTGGATGCAATTGTTATAGTAATACTTTATTCTATAAGGAATATAGGCATTTGAAAAAAAAAAAAAAAGAACATCAAGTCTTGTTATCTTATTAAGTATATCGACTTGAGTCTTATCTTTTACTTGTAATATTTCCTTTCGCGCTATATAACTTGAAAAATAAGCCTAAATGTCACGATCCGGATTTTCCACCCTCGGGAGTCGTGATGGCGCCTACTCGTGAAAGCTAGGCAAGCCAAGTATTATAGATTCACTAACTCGTTTATTTAGCCCTTTTTAACAGTTTAAATCATCATGCGATCAACAGAGAAATATTAACATTTATTTAATACGCGTGGAAGACATAATCTGATAACTTAGCCAAAAACAAGTACGACAACATCAAGTACATCTCTACCCGGAACCGGTGTCACAATATCACGGACCGTCTACGAATACTACAAACAAATGTCTAGAAAGAAAGATACAATCTGTCTCTGAAGTAAATGAAAACAGAATATAAAGATAGAGGAGAACGCCGGGGCCTGCGGACGCCTGCATGACTACCTCGGGATCTCTGACTGGACTGAAGGCAGCCACCCAAAGCTATGGTCCAAAAGCTGCCGCTCCGGGATCTGCACATAGCGCAGAGTGTAGTATCAGCACAACCGTCCCCATGTGCTGGTAAGTGCCTGGCCTAACCCCGGCGAAGTAGTGACGAGGCTAGGACCAGACTACCAAATAAACCTGTGCAGTTATATAATATACAACGGAAAATAAACAGAAATAAATAAGTAAAGATGGGAGGGGGAAAACGTGTTGCGGGGGAGTATCATTTACCAACAGTAATTTAAGAGAAAAGCATAAAGAACAATTTAAAACTCACAGCAACAGAATCAGGAACTCGTAACCAATCAACAAGTACTTTTATTATCTATTGTTGCGGCGCGCAACCCGATCCAATCATAAAACACTGTTGCGGCGTGCAACCCGATCCATATCATTTATCACTGTTGCGGCGTGCAACCCGACCCATTTATATTATTGTTGCGGCGTGCAACCCGATCTATTTATATTGTTGTTGCGCCGTGCAACCCGACCCAATTATATTGTTGTTGCGACGTGCAACCCGACCCAATTATATTATTGTTGCCGCGTGCAACCCGATCCAAATATAATATTGTTGCGGCGTGCACCCGATCCAAACATAAAGTTCAACACCAATCACACATAGAGTCCCGGCAAGGGATCAATAAAGAAACCACACTATCCCGACAAGGGAATCGACATTTTAAGTAAATACGTCCCGGCAAGGGAAAATCAGCTATAACCAAACTTGTTCCAACATCTGACTTCCTCAACTAGCAGCAATACTCAATCATAAGTAATTTTCACGGGAATAATCATAATCCTTGCTCAACACAGAGAATCAACAACTTAGGCATTCGTAGTATTTATCAAGAACACAATAATTTCAATTTAAGACTCACGGTCATGCTTGACACCGACGTATAGATACTCGTCACCATGCCTATACATCGTACTCAACAAGTAACACGTAGCAAATAGGACACAACTCCTAATCCCTCAAGCTAAGGTTAGACCAAACACTTACCTCGAA